AAATTATATATTTTAAATATCTTTTATCCAACTTCTAACCAAGATAATTACAAGTTTATTGTATCATGTTAAAAATACTTAAATTTGTCATTTAAAAGTAATTTATCATTAATAAATTATAGACCGAAGAAGGATGTCTCTTCTGAAATGTCAATATTTCTGATTTAAAGCCAGAATAAAATAATAATTTTGCTACTTAATTACACATAACTGCGTGATCGTTATTGCTTTTTTTAATTGGGAAGTTTATTTTATTTATTTATTTACAATTGACACCATATTAAATTATCAAACGACCCCTAACAAAATTAACAACAAAAATCAATTTTCTGATTAGCATAAAACATACTTTTAATAATTAAAATGTATAATTAAATATAATAACATATTTTCTAATTAAAATTACATAATAATTTAGTCATTTTTATTTAAATATACTTAAAATACAAACCCGAGACTGAAATAGGGATGTTTGCGATTATCAGATATTAATGGGAATTATTGTTAGGAACTGCTCCAAAGCTAGTATTGAGTTATATATAATTATAAAAATATAAAATATATTATATTTTGTAATTAATCTATAATGCTAAATAANAAACGGTATATTTATTGTATTTTCGTGAATATCATAAACCGTTTCAATTTTAAAACTTCACTTTATACACTTGGTTTTGTATTCCAGATAAAAAGTGTATTTTAACGTAAGGGCTGTCAAAAAATTGTTATTTTTATGAATCATTTTTTATATACTATATAAAGAATGAAAGTCGATCCACTGAGATTTGTTGCACTAAAAATTCATCAATTCACGTTTGTCAGAAGTGGCAGGTAGTCCTATACTATCGGTCGTGTCATCGAAACTCCAATATGCAGCACATCATACAAGCTACTCTACCTCTTCCTATCGAATATGACTGATGAAAAGAACCTTACAAATAGACACAATTAAAATTTTAATTGTTTACTACGAATTAATTTTTAAATTTTGAAATATTGTACTACTATTTAATTATTTTTTTTTATTTTAGTATTTTTCTGGTAGGGGTGATTAAAGTATTAGCGAAAAACGAATCCTTAGAAGTATCTGTAGATTATTAATGTCAAACCTTATCAAAATGTGTGCAGTAAAATAAAGATTAAGACAACTGTCACTAATGTAGGATCATTTGATAAATTCTTAATCCTGACTATTCCTTGAGTATTCTTGTATACTTAACTGTTACAAAAAGAATATTTATATATATTAAAATTAGTTTTTTACTCAAATAAATATAAGTAATAAAATCCTTTTTGACAATATTAAGAGCAGAGAGTCTTTAAATTGCAAGTGATCACTTTTAGTTATTTTAACAGTGACAATTTAAAAATTATTTCATCATTTAATAAATTTGAAGTATTTAATATAAATTAATTTAGCAGAAAGTAAAGTTTTTTTTTATGAAAGAGTAATTAATTTTAAATTTTTAAATATTGCGAGAGTGTAAAAAATTCTTAAATAAAAGACATAACGTAAATTTGTGAGCCTTCTTAACTGGTATTTATTGTTATACAATTTATAATTTTTAAATTATGTTGACGTCAGAGAAATTTGGAGCGATTTCTATATATATTTAGGAGGGTTCGTGTTCCTGTTGTGTGGAAATGACAAATTACCGACTCCAAAATTTCTTTTGTATTGGTTTGGATTGATAGGATAAGGCAATGCAACACGAAGGCGATCTGTCAAGGGAGTGTGCCTCCCGAGAGGACTTTCTGTGGAAACTGGCTTTATTTAGGTGTTAGACAAGTGAATAAAACCTAGAAAACTCTACTCGGCCAGAATTAATCAGGTATCAGGTATCAGGTAACCGGGACCAACTACGAATGTTCAGTGATTTTATCCATAGACAATTGGTGGAGACTTTTATGCTTTGTTTTCTATTCATGAATTTTTTTGAATGCAAACTTCGATTTTGATATTCTATTGTTAAACAATTTTACAGTTAATTTTTAAATTGAATTTACTATATAATATGTCAATATCAAGTTATTGCTGATAATCAATCAAATTTGAAGATAATCGATCTTTACATGCCGATCTGAAGGGTCCGGATTCGAGTCCGGGTTTGTAACAAGATTTTTTTATGATGATATCTCCCGAATATATAGGACCAGCCTCTAAAACGAAAGAAAGGGCCCCTAAAACGAAAAGTTAAAAATTAAAAAAAGAACAGTCGACCTTTATCAATCGAACTCAATTCAGAATAATAATAATAAAAAAGGAAGTCAATTTTATATAATTTAAAGTATGGAAGTTGTATTAGTTTTGTGAAGTAACTTTCCTAAAGTTATCTGACGACAGTATTAGATTTTCAACTCTTCCGATCCCAAGATTCTTAAAGTCTATCTTGTTAAGGGAATCAAATCGAAAGATCTGTAACGTCAACTGGTCTCATAAGAGCATCGAGAATAAATTGAATGTTCCCACTTGTAATTGTATTCGTGATACCAAAGTCATAATCATTATTGTACAAGGAGTATTAAATTAGTAATTGTAATAGAGTAAGTAGATCGAGAGAGAGATAGGTGCGTTTAGATATGTGATTACATTGACGAATACTTAAGACATTGTAAATAAAATTGATTTTCTAAATTGTTTTCCAATTCTACAAATGAAAGGAAAAAATTTCAACTTGCAGAATTAATATCTACAATTTTACTAAATCAATCTTAATCAAGTAGGTATAAATACTTACTTGATTAAGATTGTTAGCAAAACAAAAAGTTGTTTGTTGGTTTTCTGATTGAATTAAAATATTTACAGAAACTGCTTTCATACTTCAAATCCTCTTAGACTTTTAGAAAATTAAGTCTTTTGAGTAGTTGTACTTTCTTTGATGTGTAATAATGCCTTCTTGTTCTGTTTTTTTTGCAAGAATTCTTTGTTGGGAAAATAATTTAAAGATTCATTTTTAAATCTTTCACCTGTTAAATACAAAATTTACTTCTATTTTAATGTAACAAATATCAAAATATAAATTATTTTATTGTTTCAATAAGTATCAGTGTTATTTAATTGAACGTATTTATGTAGGCTATATATAATAAGGCAATTTAAGTAAATGTTTATTAAAATATTTACACGAATACTTTTAACTAAGTAATTACTAATTTAAAACTTAAATTACAAGTTTTAAGACTTTGAGAAAAATTAATCTTTATAATATTAATTTTGTAATTATAAACTTTTAAAATTTCCATACTTACAAAGTATCATTCAGTTTTAAATTTACTATAAACATTTAATTAACGTTAACTTTATATACTAAAATAAAAATTCGTAAAATTAATCTTTTCTCTCATCTATTTCCGGGTTTCTTTTAACAAATTTTAATAAAAATAATAGTAATAAAAATTTTCTCTAGGAAAAATAAATAAATAATTCTCTCATTAATCATCTAGTCGAGTTTTAAGACTAATCTATGAAGATAAAATCTTAAATTAGATGCATTCTAAAATTAATTTTTAGATTCCGGATATTTTAAAACAGGAATCAGTTACAGTATTTTTGGAATGATATTGTTTGATGAAGATTTATCTATCGGCAAATAAGTTCTTTTTAAACTATAGGGTGTGGTTTAGTGACAGTGGTAAGAGGGAGAAAGAAGAAGCGATAAAAGGGATTCTTTTATGTTGAAAGAGGCTAAGTACGTCAACTATAAACTAAGTAGAACAACTAAAGATTAACAGATACAACCAGAAACGATATGTTAAGTTAAAAATAAAAATAAAATTTAAACTTGACCTTTAACTTCATTATAAAGTAGTTTAATTTACTGTAAACAGTCCAAAATTACTTTGTGTTTGTATTATATCTCTAACTACTTACATTATTTTCGCAGTGTTTCATTAAGAATAATATCTTTTAAATCTTTAAAAGAAACTTTTGTATAGCCTCAAGATCCTTCTAAAAATATTCTAATAGACGGATTAATATTTATGAAAAGAAGACGTTTAAAGAAACTATATCAAAAAATTATATCTAATGGAAATGTCCTTTAGCAATTTTACTATCTCCAATTACAACGCGACAAAAATTCCACTAGCGGTGTGATTTATTAGTTTTATTATTGACTAAAGTCGAAAATAGCTCTTTTGTAATTGTCGGCAAGGTTATTATATAAGTTTAATATTCTGGTATTTATCAAAAAAGGAAGACATTTAAAGATAAGAAGGGAGAGACATTTTATTGTTTTTGATCTTCCATGAAGTAATCAAAGTCAGGTGATTATCTCGTACAATTCAGAATATTCCAAAAACTAGATATTATTTTAGAAATTGAAAGTTTTGATAAGACATAAGAAAAAAAATGTGGGCGGACTAACGATTGAAATAAATGGAGGGAAAGCTAGAAAGTGATTTATCATATCAGAAACAAATGTTAGCCGAGATTAAATTCTTGTAAGGAGAAAGTAGCTATAGGAAAAATTATAACAAAACTTTTATATACTGCAAGATCTGAAAATATCTTCTAAGTTTTCTTATCACACATAACCACCATGATATTGCTTTTGCAACTTGTTTCGGTTACATTTCTCTTGTGCCAACTGCGATTTATTGGTAGAGAGTCAACATATCCGCATCAATAAACATGTTAGCTGAACTACCGATGGACATATCACAAACAAATGTTAGACCAAATATAAATCTCCGGTAACAATTGTAATTGGTTTTCTTAATAAAACTCCTTAATTGTAATCAGGGCCGGATAAGAAAGACTTTTCATCCTTTACTAAATAGGGCCTCACATTAAACTTTACTAAGTTGTATCCTCATAGTTGTACTCTCGTAGAGTGCGGTCTTACTCTGTATCCCCAAATATTAAATCCTATGCTGTATCTCGTTGACTGAGGCCCACGAGATATAGTCTAGGATTATCACAGTTTATTAAGTTTACGCATCACTCCTCAATCTAACCCTGATTAAATAATATATGAGTAATATGTTAAGTAACTTACCTTTACGGGAACACATATTAGGATGAGCAGTAGATCAGCTGTAGCCAAACTGGCCAAAAATATGTTACTTATTGTGCGCATGCGTTGAAAAGTAAGGACCGTATAGATGATTAGGCTATTTCCCAATAGACCAATGATTAATGTTGTACCGTAAACAATTGTAGTGGGAATGAGATCGGACAAATTGTAGTAATTCCAAGAATCGGTAGGATCGTAATCATAACTTTCACTATCGTTGATACCCAGTGATGTTGAAATGTTGTATTCCATTTTTATAATAGATTTTCTTGAGTTAGGTCTTAGTTTCCTGCAAAAAAAATAGATTTTTTAAATCCATATATATTTTCTAAAATATGATTTTCTTCCACGAAGCAGGGAGTGCCTTAGAGAAAACTTCTTGTTTCAATTTAAATTTATGGAACTGTATATTTGTATAGTTCATTTATTATTTAAACCGATAAAATTTATATTAAGACTTTAAATAGTGTATTTTTATTACATAATCTGATTTTTAAAAATTATTTAAATTATCTCGTCAATTAAAAGATGAAGATACACTTCTGAATAAAATGATTTGCTGTTATAATTAAAGTAGGGATAAGCCATCAGTTTTGGCCACCGAACTTTTAATCTGCTTACATTAAGATATTAGTAAGGATTATAAAAATAAATGATTTTGGTTTTTCTTTCACATTAATTGTTTATTATAATAAAAAAATAATAACCATTTAACCAATACTGCTATTTACAAGTTAATAGCTGATGAGAATAGATTTTTTTGGAATTTTTTCTTTAAAATTTACCTCAAAATAAGTGTTAAACTATTAAGACTCTTTCTGTATTTATAGAATATAAATTAATCTAAAATAATTTACAGTGCATTTGGAAAAGTAAATAGAGTTAATTAGAACAAAATGTTCTAAAAGTGTCCAAAAGTAATGGCTTGACCTTACCACATAAAGTAGACTATTAATTAAATTAAGATTAACGTTTAGTATCACACATAATTTAAATCTTAAAGATTTATTCTATAAGACTATAAATTTTATAGACTCTATTCGAGAATTAACTATACTTAATCGTATCTATCTTTAGCTTTACTGGTGTCAATTGTACGTTTTTACGAGCTTATAGATTTATTTCTGGAAATAATTCTAGTTAAATATCAATAAAAAAAAAACATTAAGAAATGTAGAATAAAGTAAATTGGTTATAACAGTAAACAAATCATAAGGAAATATTGAATTAAGTAAGTATATTTAAAATAATAAAATAAATAATAATTTGTGATTTAAATATAATTTTTAAAAAATAAAAAAACTAATTAACACTGTTATAAATAGTGTCAAAATGTAACTTTTTAAAGTTTTAACATGTAAAAATTTCAAAAATTTTTAATATAATTTATTTAATATAAATGATAATGTCTTCGGTTAAAAAAAAAAATTCATTTTCAGCATTATAGCTTATGAATCTCTTACTTAATATCTCCTGGGGTCATTTTCCTCTGAGTTCTCTACGTGACAGAATTCTTAGCGCGTGCATTAGCATTGAATGGGTAGTTTTCGCGTCTTCTTTCGTTTGGTTGCAGTAGTTGATTGCATTTTCTCTTAAGGTGACTGTTGCTAATAGAAACAACATAGGATAGGCTTTGTCACTTAATGTGACATTTCTTTCTTGCTGTTAATCAAATAAGTAAGTACAGAGCACGTATTAACATTGTTTGCATCAGCATAATACAATACTTTAATTCTTCAATTAATGCTGTATATATATATAAATGTGTGTGTCTTAATTTTTTCTATTTTATCCTAAATTAATATCTCAAAATGTGATAATTCTCAGTTTTTCGATAACTATCCAAATTGAAATATGTTTTTAGTCTAAATTGCTGAAAAGAGCATTAGTGAGGTTTATCTCAACGCTTCTTTTCTATTGATTATCACTTTTTCCAACAGAAAAAGAATGTAAACAATAAAATTAGGAAGAAAAACTAAAATTCAAATTCAAAAGAGACAACGATTATCAATAATATAGCTTCTCATTATTTTTCCATAGAGGAAAAATAAAGAAAAAAGATGGTAAAACATACAGATATTTTAAAAAAACCGATAAATCTATTTCTATATATTGTTTTGGGTGTTTTTTTTTATTTATAAATTATTCTATCAGTTTTTCATCAATCGACAAACAGGAAGCGCTACAATCTTACGAAACATAGTTTTAGGAATTTTTTCTATATTTTCTTTTCTGTAAAAAGAGAAAAAATGATTTCAATCACAATTCTTTGTCCACTCAAAAATAATAATAGAGCAATGAGGCAAGTCCAGCCATCTTTTTATAAAGTACAGTACACTTCGCATCAGGTGGCGATGTGCACCTTACAATAGAACCGTTCGATGAAGAAAGGTTAATAATGAACAATGTTATTGATAATATAGCGCTTCCGAGTCATTGTGTCCGCTCTTGTTCTCTGGCAAGAAGAAAAATAAATGAGACGATTCAAGAACAAAAAAGAAAAACGTCGCTTTAACTCTATAAATGCATAACTTTTCATTAAGAACCGTCATATCTTATTATAATATCTTTAATTTTTTTGGAAGCTGCTTCAAATTTTAATTAATTCTAGCTATAAGCGATTATATTTACTAATTTTATCGTGTTTGCAAATTACGAGATACTTGCCGAAAACGTTTAAAAGTCACAAAATACCAATGAAAATTTATGATTAATTTCAATTATAAAATGGTTCGTAAATTCCAATATGTGATTCACTTGCTAAGTAAGCAATAAAGTTGATTAAACTGGATTCCACGTTTTCCAGTGACAGATAATTCAATGTGTCTGACGTGCGCTAAAGGCGCAGAATTCTTCATTAGATGAGTCTCATGCCTCTATGTCACTTAGAACAAATAAAATCTAGTATACTGTATACGGAATTCTATTCAGTTCATTCTAGAATGATCTTATCAACGAAACAAATGGCCGAATTTTCGGTAATTGAACAGAAAAATTCATTAACTTGTATTGAACGTAACAACAATTTTCATTGAAACAAGAGCGAAAGTGTAAGTTAGGAGAATTTTAATATTCTGTTTAGATAAGTAATCTTTGTCTATCGAAATATCTTTAGATAGAAATGCGTTTTCTGGAGAGAACTACAGTATATCATTCAGCTGATCAGCTTATAACCTATACGTTCATCTCAGCACCGAAGAAGGGAACCAAATTTAGAATCTTATTCCGGCATTTAAATGAAAATATGTAAAAAGATATGCATGTTTTATAAGAGAAAAAAATAAAAAGTGTCTCCCAAAATTTAAACATAAATCCTTATTCTATTTTATAAAAATTTAAAATATGATACTAATCAATAATTTATGAAAATTCAAAGCTGCTGTTTTCTTGGCATGAATATCTGACCCTATGAATTTTTAATTTCTACTTCCGAATAGAATTTTAAAAATAGTTCCGAAATCCATTTGTATAAATTTTAAAATTGCTTAAAAAGTGTAAAAAAATATAATAAAATTCAATAAATAAATTTGAAGCATAAATAAAATTTAATTATAAACTATTTCTAAATAATTCAATATTAAAATATATTTTAATTCAATTTTCCACCTTTCTATCAAGTAACTTTCTTTGCAAAAATGCTTTCGGATTCGATTAAAAAGATATTAAGTGAGTGTTTTCGACAAGAGCACAAGATGAAATATCCTAACATAGACTTCTCGACAGCAACAAGTCCACTTAGAAGAGGAAAAAAACAGGAGAAAAAAACAAGTTATCGTCATTGGAGCGTAAATTCAAGATGAAATATGATATATCTAATTGTTGCAGCTAGCTAAATCAGAAATTTCAAACCGCATTTATATTGTTAAACCCTGTCTTTAGTAATTAAGTAGATAAGGAATACAATAAAAGCAGAATAATCGATTTCTTCCCGAAAAATTGTAAGAGAAAATGCATTCTGGTAAACTATCTTTAATCAATAAAATCTACAAAAAATAAAATGAAATGAAAAAAATTTTTAGTTAAACATTGTAAATTAAGTTTAATGGAAATTAGGCTTTAAGTAGATCTACACTTTAATTTTGTTTTTTCTAAACGTAAAAAGTTTTTCTAATGTATTGAATAATTATATTAATGTTAGGTATAATTAAGCATGTTAAAAGTATTAGAAAATACAAATTTATTAAATTAATCTAATTGAAAGTGGCGAAATGTTATAATTTAAAAAAATGTATTAAAGTGGATATTTATTAAATAATAAGAATAAATTAAATAAAAAACGTGCTTTTTAAATTTTTAACAATAAAAATAGATTAAAAAAAGACTAAACATTAATTAATATAAAAACGAAATATATTCTAAAAATTTGAATAAATGAATTTATTTATTGAAAAATATTTTTTAAAACTTCATCTAATGTGTTAATTTTGAAAAATTTCATTATATTTATAAACTTTCCTGAAGAATTTACTGGAGACTTTTGTTATAGTCGACAATAATATTAAAACTTGGTAAGTTATAAAAATTCTGGTGATAAAAATGAAGTAGAATGCAGCGAAATTTTCCATTTTTGCTTCGAGCATCTGCTACTTCGTAGAAATTTTCAGGCAAACCTTCTATAAAATATAAGAAAAATCTAATTAAACTTACCCCTTTGTGTTTATGTTTAGTTAAACATTTTCCCTCTCAATTTTTTTCTTATCTTAATGAATTAAAAATAAAAGTAAGAATTCATCTTAATTTATTTCTAGTAGCCATACACGCAAAAAAGTCCGTCTACTGTGTAGGCGCTATGTAAAAATAACACAATGTTGGGAAATAATTTACGTGTTTAGAATGTGATAAAGACTTCAGTTTAAAGTATTGTTAGTTATTTTAATTTAAAAAATTGTTTACTTTAAAGGTGAGCTTTATAAACACAAACGAATCTTGTGCCATAAATACATCAGAGAGATTGCCTTGACAATTTATTAATGGTTTCTATCGATTTGTTGACTTTTAAGAGCTGAAAGTCACTAATGTTCTCTTAGAGTCCAAATGAAATATCGAGTCTTGTTGGATACAATCTGATTTTTGTCGATGTTTCTGTATTATTTTGTGGATTTTACACACTCTACTGTATGGGCTTGTAAACAAACGTATCTTTCATCTCGTAACGTGGTTAAGTTCATTTCAAATCTAATAATACCTGTACACGTCGCTTATGACAGTTAAGGACATTTAAGTATTTGATAATATTAAAATTTATGTAAATCTATCAATAATTTATAACTTAAATTTAAATAAAATTGA